CAGGATTGGACACCCCTGGGTTAGGATGAAGGGGAGAGAGGAAATGATAGCAGAGACAAACAGACAACTAACAAGAGATTACAAACACTGGTGGGAGGACTGATCAGACACCTGCAGGGAGGACAAAGCACAGCCACTGCTGCAACTTCACCACCACTGCCAGACTCTCCGCTGTTATTGTGAAGCTTCTGTCGCAGCATTTTCCTGCGTTGACCTCTGCGGTCGGATTGACGCAGGTCTGAAGAGCTCGGAGGCTCCACTCCTCCAGCAGCCCCAGCCGAGCGCCACACAGCCTCGGCGGCGTCAGCCTGGCTGGAACCGCAGCGCCTGCATGCGAGATCCCTCCGCCTTCCCCCTCCTGGAACTTTCCCAGGATTTCAGGGATTTCACGTCCACGGCTCGCGGGCGGGCGTGCACGCGTGCGTGTGCGTGGCCACCTGAGCCAGTCTCCCAATCATCACTAACTAATGGAGGGCAGGAAGAAAAACAATCACACCTGTTCTCCTGCTCCAGACTATTTTAGTGACTTTCCTATGACGGACGCTGAAGCAGCCGAAGAACGTTTCTTCTTGTAGTATTTAGCAGTGCGTTTGTGTTTCTCCCTTCATTCATAAAATTAAATGCCTGCGCTTGGTTCTTGGGTATTATTCTTTCATTTGCACCTTTAATGACATATTACCTTTTTACAGCAGATTGTATGAGCCACTTTCATCATGCATGGTCACTGCTTCTATGTGTGATTTAGAATAACTATTTGTTAATTTATTATAGAATTGCTATTAAGTCATATATAAATGTGACAACAATAAGTATAGTTATATGCAAATTCCATACGCGACCACATCAACTCATCAATAAACACCTATTCTGGTTACTATTACTGTCATGTGGCCATGCGCAAATACGCACACACGCTGCACCTGTAGTCTGAAAAACATCTCCATTGTGCAGAGGTGACACTCCCCACAGTGTCCCTACTCGTTTTTACTCACGTTTTCGAATCAAATTACTATTTTTTCCCCCCTCTTAAAAGACCAAGTTTGTTTCGTTATCTACTGTTGGGAGCCACATAGAGGTCTTTCTCATTGCGGATGGATACGATCCTTTATTGGGAGTGCCGTGACTGGTCCAGTTAATGACGCAAGCCCGGCTGGCGACAGTGAGTCTACAAGTTTGACATTTTCACAGTTTACAGCAACTGCTGCGGGACGTAACAATACTCCCAACACGAAGTGAAACCACTCTGTGGATCTTTGCAAAAAAAAAAAAAAAACCTGATGATTTTTTTTTTTAACATCCCCCCTCCATCCCCCAAACCCACCAGGTATATCAACCAAAACGCACCACCGACATAAACTGCCGGTATGCCACAAATAGGTGGTGGTCCGTCAAAACAAGTGGTTACCAAACTGTGGTCCGGGGACTTTAACAACCTGTTTGTTCACATTTTATCAAGTGAACACAACACCATACCTTCCACGTGTGAATTTACAAAGTGTCTTTTGTTTTTTTTTAAACTGCAGATCTAAATCCGGAGGCAGGAAACAAGAAGATCGTGATTCACCGCCTCAGTGTCTTGTCTGGGTGCAGAGGGCAGACAGATGGGCAGGGCGCAAACAGGATGCGCTCCCCGGGGCTCCGGGAGGCCCCAGAGACATCCGCATCAGCGCGAACCCCAGACCTCAGGCTTGCATAAGAAAACAGCACTATTAAAGTTCATTTGCTTAGACCACAAAAACGCTCGCTGCACTCTTCCCAAGATGTTCACGAGGCTTAGGAGACAAACAAAGGGATGGATAATGCCATAAATAACGCAATCCCACTTTCCCCCCCCCCACTTCAGTTTCCATCATGTCAAAGAGAGGCCAAACAGGATAATGTAGCTTCCTGTAACGCATCCAATTTCATATAGCTGATCCCAGATAACTTCATCTGGCAATTTAATTTATAGAAAATTAAGTGATCTGTAAGTGGACTTACATTGGACTTAGATTTCCAGTAATATTTCACAGGTATTTCCTGACACACTACTCTCCACAGGATGCCTGATCCCCAATTAAACAACCAGTGGTCTTAGTTCACTCATCATCCACTACACTGTCCATGCAGTGTGTTCACGTGTTACATTTTGCTGTACCATCTCAAGCACATGGCAAGGTAAGGCTTTGTGTGGGTGACGGCACAACCAACCAAAGATTCAAACGCTATGACAGCAGTGTAAAAATCTCTTCATCTGACCGCAAATTTTGAGCTCCGAAGACATCGTTGGTCTTGCTTTTAAAATGAGTAACTCCTTTAGTTAAAGATTTTTGTGGAAAAAGGTGTTTTTAGAAAATTCTAGCTGAAGTGTACCTGTTCAAGAAGAAGGATTTTAACGAATTCAAAGGTTGCACAGAACACCAACACAACTCCTCTTCACATTGTCATTGATTTCAGAATGAACATACACAACATCACATGGACATCACCTGTACTGTAGAGCTGCTGTGTCCTCTGGCTGCTCAGGTTCTCAGTACAGGAATCAGGCTTTTCCAAGGTAAAGCTGGAAAACAAGGTAATCATGCTTTTGCTCTTGTTGCTCCTTGACTCTCAAAAGTACACCTCGTAAAAAAAAACAACAAAAAACTTTTAAAAGTCGTTTGTTTTCTTTGCCTCATCCTGGTTTTTATAAGTTTACATTTTGTGGTTTCTGCACTTAACCTCATTGTTTTCACATTTCCTCAATCTTTATTAAGTCTCTCTCTTTTCTTCCTCCCATTAAGCACTTCAGTTTGGTGAGGCACTATGTAAAGTCAGTCGTTCATTACAAACTAATTTGAAAATAACAATGAGAATTAGCCATTACAATATCCTGCAGTTTGAGGTAACATCACATGCCCGTTTATGGTTTAAAAAAAAAAAAAACGTAAAAAAAAAAAAGAGAAGAAAATCCAATCTACGAAACTAAACAATCACCCGTTTCGTATTTTTGCTTGAAAAATGAGAAACTGAAAATCAGCGATCCAAAAAGTTGCATTACATTTTTTTGCTCCTTTGACTAGTTGATTAATCAGTGAATGGTTGCAGCTTTGGTCAGGAGGTTAATATTGATTGTCAAATCATAAATCAGTGACTTCTTAAAATTTTTATTTTGGTTCAAGTCATTTAAGCTATCCAGCTCTTCAACCCACAGCCATGTTTTCTCCAAAATAAAATCCCCTCCCTTTTGCAAATTTCATATAACAACATTCATTCTTCATGTGAGAATCTTGACACACAGATGATCAGATCCGTCACATTTCACCACAAATCGTCCTCACTTACAGTTGATTGGGCACAAAATAAACAGTAAGTAACTTAGTACATGAATCAGTCCTACATTCTGTAAACTGTGGCAACAGAAATGTATGTGTAACCGTGGCCATGGCATACCAATATGCACATAAAAAAGGCAGAACCATGAGGAACCTACAACTGTGCCATGACTTCACGTCCAGTGATGTCGAGAAAGGAGAAGAGCTGATACTTTGCGATTACAGTGAATGATGGACACAGTTGTAATCCCACCTCATCCAAAGGCTTGATGGCTCTATCATAGGCTGTCTCTATGACACGAGGGCTTATCTGATTGGCTAATCAGTCTTTTGAGTTGACTGCAGTTTCCAGGCTCCTGTGATGTAGCGCAGACGAATGAAAATCAGGTCTCGTCCCATCTGCAGCCAGCTCCAAAACGGGACCAGCTTGGACCCTGGTGGAGCAAAAATCACGGCAACTTCATTTTCAAGTTATACTTTTTGAAGATAAGTAACAGAAATGTGCCAGTTTGCTGATATTTATCACTGATGGGACATGTACTAAAAATACTTTATGACAGGCTTTAGTAAATAGCTGAAAAGATGCTTCATAAACTGAGAGAAGCATTAATATCACACACAAAGATTACCTTGTACAAAACACAATTTTAAATTATTATTATCATGCTACATGAAAATGAAAAATATCGAGTAGAAATGAATAAAATCAGCCAATCACAAACTTACGCACACATCCAACAGAGATATTTATAGAACTACAGATAAGTGCCACAGAGAGAGAACACATGTCCACATATTCCACGAAAAACCCACCTTCTATTTCAGTCCAGTTGACTGCCACCTCTGCTATGGGGATTTTAAAACACTGGGCAATGTACAGGAGCTCCACATCAAACGCCCTGGGAGACGAGAGATTAAAGTGGACAACAGATGTTCAAAAGCTGCATTAAAGTTCATATTTTATTGCACCTAAAAAAATGAATCGTACAGTGGTCTAATCATGAGAGCTGGGCATGAAACCTCAGTGAGAAACCTCTGTTAGCTTTGTTGCACCTGTTGGGGCAGTACAACTTCCAAGGTCATCGGTTTTATTGGTTAATAGAGATGATGGTGACATGCATTCCACACTTGAGCTGCATTTGATGTGTGTCCGCGGTGGGAAGTCACACCTCAAAACTATATAATGTTTACCCCCTTGCATGTTCGATGGACAAAGTAGGGAACAAAAACATTGCTGCCGCCACATTTGCTTTGTTGCTTTTCTGCGATCAACAAACGTTTAGCAACAGACATGAAGTTTACTTAAGTGAATAGCAGAAAAAGAGAAGGCTGCTATTTTGGTGAATTATGTTCAGGTTTCCACAGCTGAAAATTTCACTTCTGGTGGAATCTTCTTAAATGTTTTCCTGGTCGGGTATTGGAAATTCTGAGTGCCCACTTACCAGCAACTAGCTAAATTTAACCTTGATCTAACTATAAGTCTAGCTAACCATTTACCTAAAAACACCAATGTGAGACATGTTGAATGAGGTATTTTAACTACTGTTTGTCTGCTGTTTTGGAAAAATAATTTAATTAAAAAAATAATAACTTCCGATTGGCTTGCTTTTGCTTTAAATAACACAGACACATGTGCATTGCAGCTATTACTGCATCATTACACTAAGTAATAGAGTTGATTTCTTACCACCGCTCGACATGGAGAGAGGAGAAGGTCTTGAGTGCAGCCTCACGTGTAAAAAGCTTGAAGCCGCACTGTGTATCTTTGATCCCTCTCACACAAAAGAACCACACCAGGAAGTGAAAGCCATACATAAGGAATGTACGAAACATAGATCGCTGTGGAGACACAACAGTGGTGATTAGAAATTAGATAGAAAGACACATTCTACAATAAAGAAGAAGAAGAAACAGTTACCTGAGCTACAGACTCCTTCTCTAGGTGAGCTCTGGAACCACATGCGATTGCCATGTTCTCCTAAATATTAGAGAGGCATTTTTAGGATGGTCACGTATTAACAGCGTTCCTATTAATATATTTTTGTGAGACAGAACTACACAAACAAAACACCGCCACACCGGTCTGGGGTTGAGGTCATTAAGTCCAGCCTCCACTTTCTCAATGTCAGAGAACTTTGTGGCTCCGTCAGCATCTGCCATCAGAATGAATTTCCCTCTGGAGCTCAGAGTTCCCTTTGAGACAGAGCAAAGACGGGCAAAGTTAACTTCATACTGCTGCTTCTGTGAAGCATTCAAACACACTGTGTTCTCACATCCACATTCTTACCATCCGCACAGCTCCTCCTTTTCCCCTGTTCTCCACCAACGTCAGGACCCGCATTTTATCTGCGCTGTACTTCCTAGTGTAGCGTAAAGCGACCTGGCAGGACATCACAACAATGCTCACTTAGAAACCAAATCTCTAATGGCATAATTTCAAAATCTATACCAGAGCAAAACTTGAGGGGATTTAGAATGGAACTCTTGGGAACATACCCCCAGAAAGAGGCTTAAAATCATTACCTCAGTGGTTTTGTCTTTGCTGCCATCATCAACCACGATGACCTCGTAGGTGAAAGAAGGGTTTTGTTTCTGCAGTGAAGAAGCAACATGAGTGATTTGTTTCCCAAGAGGCACTTTTTAAGGTCAATGCTGCCACCTACTGCTACCTTTGAGAATGACATGTTCAGCAACAAGAGCCGTCTTTGCTAAGATACTTCTCAGAGGATGCTTCCATCTAGTGGAATCCTCGTAAACTATTAATAAAAATGAGTCTTAAAATCTTTTAAATGAGTCGCTATTTATGAAAATACAGTAAAGTTATCTGTGTATGTATTCCCAATGGGGGATGAATAAAAAAAATATTAAAAAGTATGCTAGATTCCCAGTCCTCCAGGTCATGGTAATCCTGGGAGATTTAGTAGAAAGCAACAGGACTTCTCTTTTAGGTTCGGTTCTTGAACACGTTTCATTCCTCACCCATAAGGCTTCTTCAGCTCTGACTGACTGATGGGGAGTTTCAGATAGATGACTATATATAGTGAGTATATACAACCAAAACTCCCCATCAGTCAATTACAACTAAAGATTCGGAGATGAAACATCTTCAGAAACCTAAAAGAGAAGTCCTGTTGCTTTCTACTGAAGCTCATAAGAGTAACATTTTCACTAAGACTGAATTTAACATTGCACATTGGAGGTTTAACACTTACTTGTCTCTTTTCCAAGTACTCCATAGCTTCATCCAGCATCACAGGCACTGAAATGACACACAGTAACATACATACATATTAGCACCTACAACCAACTGCAGCTGCACTGGAACATTTTTAAACTGACTGACAACTGATGATGCACAATTAACAACTGCTGTTCAGTTTAATGAGTTTATCTGTACTGCAGTTATTCGACTACTTGTGAAGTGACCCTGGAATTAACATTACTCTTCACAGTCTGAAGTATCTGCCTTCATAGGCAGGATACAGTGCAGATGTTTCTGACAGAACAGCTGGTGTCACTCACTTCGGAGCTCCTCGTTGTAGGCCGGGATCACAACAGACAGCTCCCTGGAGTGGGGATCTTGAAGGCTGGGGAAGAGCTCCTTCTCTCCCGTGGCGGTGAGGAAGTATTTCTCCTTCTCGTGGCGCTTCAGGTTCACCATGCCTGCAGATAAATGTGCTATTATGAGCACCTAAAAAGGGAGAAATATGAGAATGGTACGGTTGTTACTGCTTTTGTTTTTAAAATTTTTTTTAAAAGACAGGTGTACAAACTTTATTTAACAAGATGAAGAGAGGGCACCTATACTTTATTTCATAGCATGGACTATTTAATCTAATTGGCACAGCAGTCTTTGTTGTTAACATGACTTGGGAGTTGTGATGGGCTACAACTATGTGTAATCAATGTTTAGTGTTTTGATAAAGCTAGGTTTGCATTTTAAGCCTTCCATCTTCCTTTTGTTGTGTGATGTTTGTCTACACTATATGTGGTTTTGAAACTGCCTCTGTACGTTTCAATTGTCTTGTATGTTAGGTGTGTTTCATTATTAGTACAGAATAAAATCTAATGAAACAAATGTTTGTCATTTATTCATTATATAAACTGTGCTAAGTTTTACTACTTTTGAGAATTTTGTTTTCCACTTTAAAGTGGACCAATCTTGTGGCTTTGGAGCAGAAAGAACAGAAAGCATAATTAACATAAGATACAAGAGGTACAGCAAAAGATTGGTCAATGGAAAAAGTACAAAGAGAAAGGAATCCACACTGTCATGTTTCTGTACGTCAGTTAGTGCAAAAACGCAGTTGGGCAGCTGTTTCCTTCCTATTACAGATAGCAAACACTTTCTAAAACAAGCTACAACAAATCTCTGGCAACGCAATATTAACGAAATACAATATTTACTTACCACAATGAAACCTAAAGCTGCTAATGCGACGAGGGCTTGAACTATTTCACAGAGAAAATCCATTTTCCATCCAGCTTCCCTGCAACCACTGACAGATCACCAGTCCAAGTGGCTAGCTAAAAAGCTAGCTCGCTCTCTCCTTAGTTTGCTTCTTGTCCAGTAGTTTGTTCACTGACCTCCCAGAATACACGAGAAAACACGGGTTTATGAGATTGTTTAGAAAGTGGAAACTGTAAATAAGAGCCCCTATATTTCCATTACACTGGGGGCAGTTCGCTGAACTCCACTTCCAATCACAACTGTACACCAAGGCGACGCGGAAGTAGCGGCTTCTTCTCGACACATCATCATTTTACAACAAGAGACACTGAGCGGCTCCGTGTTACCTGCAGCGACACGAACACCGCCAGCTAGTGGACAGGCGGGGTACTGACAGCGATGATAAAACTGTATATACAATGGGGGTTGACATGAATATATAATACATTCATCTCCTACACATTTTACAAGTTAAATATGAAGCATACTTTTTTTTATAGATCGCAGTTTGACCAGTCGGGTTAAAAAAAAGTAGAGGTATAATTAAAAAAAAAAAACCTTCAAACATCTTAGTTTTTGCTTTTTAAGTAAATTCTATCCTTCTTCTTTTTTGAACATAGAGGATTAAGTATTTGTTGCTCCAATGTGTTGCATCAACACAACAGAATATCCATCATAAAGCAACCAAGTACACGCTACACTGGAAATGATGATGGGCAGATGGTAAGTGGGGTTATAGTCCAGAAATCACAATCGTGAGTAACACATCTGTGACATATGGAGTTCATGAAGAATGGTAGAGAAACTGCAAAGCTAGCTAGCATTCTCTGGGATGCAATCATCTTATTGGACACGTCCATCCAGAGCTGTCTGCTAGAATTTCTTTGGTTATAAATGCCGTTCTTGTCTTTTCTACAGCCATTTGTGTCATCATGCCATTTAAATAAAGTTGTATTTTAAAGTAGTCGTTTATAATGACATGGTCAGAAGAGTGTCTGTATCCTGGTCACATCCTGGTCACATCCTGGTCACGATATCTGATGAAGCCACACCTGACTAGAGTGTGGATTAACTCAACGATTGAGAATTTGTCACCAGCTGAACAGCTAAAAAAACTGGATACATTTGTCACTATAACAACAGAAATAAGATTTTTTTTTTAAACTTTTTTTCTGCCATCAGAAAAGAAAACCATTTGCATGCTGCATTTATATTTTTGCTCAGAGTAAAATAATTTGTGATTTTCAGTAAAACAACCTGACATTACAAATAAAAAAGATTCTAAGTAAAACTGGATCTTGTCGGTATAATCTTACTTCATAAAAACAACAGAACATCTATTTCCTAAAGCCAAATCAAACCAATTTCAAATACAAGTTCCACATCAGTAAAAATTGGTTAACAAGTAGTAGGCTCCACACACATTAAAAAAGTAATAAAACATAAAACAAAATAATGAATTGTATTTGCCGCATTAGATCCACTTAAAATCTTGTGTGGGTACCAAGCATGTTAATTGCAAAATACAGTATCCAAGCAGGTATGATACCAAGAAAATAGAATTTTATGCAAAAAAAAAAAAAAAAAATCAAATATGGATGTAATTAAGAAACATGTCTTTAAAAAAACTAATGCCTGAGGAAATAGGATTATTAAAGTGGAGCTATATTTACATCAAAACGGGATATAGACACCTCTTGTACCAAACAGTGATCATCTGCCAAAAAATGATTGCTCAGTTTATATATGTGTGCAGCAGCTTTTATCTGGATGGAATAGTCAAATACACATAACTTTATGTCTGCTGTAATGCTTCCCTTAAGTATATTGGTGTATATGCAGTTTATGGCATATTCCAGCATGACAATAATATACTGTTGTTTTCAGCGTTTAGGATGTAAAATGGTGTATATGGTCTGATATCCTAATTTATATTGGGCAACTGTAATTTACTGTAATTAACATTATTTACACATGGGTTTATATAAATGTGTAAAATAAAGAAAATCTGTTTTCCATTTATTCTGTTGGCCATATTTCCTAAAATATAACCCTCATGAACTAAATCAGGTCTTTTTTTGATGCATTAATAACATTGCAGTTACTATGTAGAAGCTGCATCACTATCAGGCAGGTAGAAAACTGCATTATATGAGTTGAACTGCTCCTTTAAAGCTGTTTCAACAGGTATAAAGAGCTGGGTTTGTTATAATGTCAGGAACAGAGTAGTAAAAATAATGCAGAGACACGAACATAGCTCTTTATGACTGCTTGACCCTGATAAAAGCAGGTAAGGATGATAATAAACTAGGCAATATCGGATTTGGGGCAGATGATCGCTTTGTCAAACCGGCGAGTTTTCTTCCTACCGGCTTCCGTAGGACGGACACCAGACCCACGTGGTTCATCATAATAATCATGGCGGCTGGTTTCAAGTAAGGACGTAGAAACTGTAGCTATTTTACCGAAAATAGTACTTTTAATTTGATTTATTATCACCTACCAAATAAACGTAACAGTTGCGCTGATCGTTGTGTGTTTTTCCAAAAATATAACACATGAGACGGAGATAAACCGTTAACGGCGCACTTCATTCAGTCCTTCAGTTGCTTCTCTCATGTTGTAGTTCATGATTACTTCATATTTACTACAATCTACACGTACATATCAACTGAATAGTCATTCTAGAGGCAGAAACTTCTCGGTTTCTTTGTGGTGTTGTTGTCTTTACTCTGATCACAGTATTTATCTGTCGTGTCTTTCATTCCTTGCTGATCTGCGCACCTGCAGGACTGCTGAGCCTCTGGAGTACCACAGGAGCTTTCTGGTTAGTGATCACAGTCCTAGAAGTCCACAATCAGCTGTCAATCAACTTGTTTCACTGAGTGAATGGGAGCATGTGTCTATTTAATGTCAGTATCAGCTGTCTTACTCAAACCTTCCCTTCCCAGAAAGAAAACTGTCGACCTGATGGGCGAGAGCTGTCTGAGTCCAGAACCACAACACTGAACATAGGTGAGCATCGGTTCTTACTCACAGTACAACGTGTGTTGCTGTATATTCTTTAACCCACATGGGATTGTTTTTCTCTGTTTGTCTGTCCGGTCAGGGTCCATATCCACAGCAGATGGCTCAGCCCTGGTCAAGATGGGAAACACCACAATCATCTGTGGAATCAAAGCGGTAAAAGTTCATGAACACAGCAGTTAAAATCCTTATTTGAATGAATCTGAACCAGATCAACATCCGATTTTTTCGTTTGTAGGAGCTGGCAAACCCGACAGTGGAGGCACCTGGGAAAGGATACATCGGTAAGTCCAGTGCAAAGGTGGATTTAAGACAAGATACACACCCTCCCACTTTTCTATTACATGAATAATATAAAAACATCAATGATGACTTTATACAACACTTTTAAAAACAAGGGTTTACAAAAAAGCAGTATATCAAAAACAAATACAAGTTAAGTAATTAAAGCAATACAGCCTAAGTAGACAAGTGTTATTTGTTTAGCACATTTTAAACAACAGTCATTGAATCAAAGTGCTTTCCAATAAGGTTGATGTTAAACCAAACAAGTTTAACTATTAAGGTCAAGACCCTACAATATTATACATTTAAATACAGTTAAAACCCTGCTATGTTATATTAAATGCAAATTCACCAGACTAAATTAAATATTGCACTTAAGCTCCTACAGTATAGTTAATTATGCAAATTTACCAGACTAATTACCTTACAATATTATAAACTCTCAGAAATTTTCTGATCAATTTAAATCATTAATTAAGGGGAAATCCCTACAAAATGATGCATGGAATCAATCCATGAACTCCTGTTGAACAAGCACATTGGTGACAGTGGAGAGGATGAACTTCCTTTCAGCCAGATCAAAAACTGATAAACATATTAAGTTTAATTATCGAATTGCATTGGAACGTCATCTTACTCAAAGATTGTTTTTGTTTGTCGGTTTTCTCCTGTGTATATTATTTGATTACCTCCTCTGATTATTATGTTATTCTAATTTATCAATGGCTGCATCCCAGCAGCAAAAGGTATTCGAATCAAAAAGCCAACACTGACTGCAGTCCTCGTCTCCATCCTTCTTAGTGCCCAACGTGGACTTGCCACCTCTATGTTCCTCTCGGTTTCGTCCGGGTCCTCCGGGAGAACAGGCCCAGGCTGCCAGCCAGTTCATCGCTGATGTTATTGAAAGGTGACAGACTTTTGTGCATTTTGTTCATTTTTCATTAGATGCACATTAACTGTCCTCATGCCTGTCACTGCTTTCAGTTAAGTGTCTTTTTTATGTGTGTTGCAGCTCTGAAGTGATAAAAACAGAAGACTTGTGTATTGACAGAGGAAAGGTAAACCCAGAATCATACACACACACCGGTACTGGTTGTGATTTTTGTCAATGTTGAGTCATCTGTACTAATTCCGCCGTTTCTGCTGCAGCTCTGCTGGGTGCTCTACTGTGACATGATGTGTCTTGACTACGACGGGAACATTCTGGATGCTTGCATCATTGCCCTGCTGGCTGCCCTGAAGAACAGTAAGCGTTGTATTAAATGGAAGTAATGGACATAACTGTGACTGACATGGGAAAAAAACAACTTACAATTATTTGCTTTTAAGTGTTTTAGTTGGGGAATTTCATTGACATTCAGCTGTACGAGGTGTGTCAGAAAACTTCCAGGACTGGTGCAACAAAACATATATTTCAAACTACAAACTACAAGTTTTCCCCTTTGAAGTAATCCCCCAGGAGTCTAACACACTTTCCCAGCCTTCTCTGCCACGCCGCCATGCACTCCTGGAAGGATTCTTCCAGGATCCTCCTCAGCTCTGTCATCACAGCCATCTTGATGTCGTCCACGTCTTCAAAACGAGTCTCCTTGATGACCCCCTTGAGCTTGGGGAGAGGAACAAATCCCACGGAGCCGGGGGGGTAAGTAGGGAGGTTGCTCCAGCACGGCAATGTTCTTCTCAGCCAGGAACTGTTGGATGCTCAGGGCATTGTGATCAGGCGCGTTGTCATGGTGAAGCAGCCACGACTTGTCCTACCACAACTCTCGCCTCTTCTCGCACACTGAACAAAGCAAACGCTGCAGGATCTCTTTGTAGACGTGCTGGTTGATCGTCTGAAGGGGAAAAGTCGTAGTTTTGGTTTGAAATATATCTTTTGTGACTCCAGTCCTGGAACTTTTCTGACACACCTTGTATAAATTCCCTGCTTCTAGCTACTGTAGTGCAAAGTGCAGAGTACTTAGAGTGTCAGTAATGAAATCAAAAACAATAAAAATACTTAGAGCAAAATTTCTTAAGAATAATAAAATCTGTGTATTCGGTAGTAGTTTCCTAGTTAAAACAGACAAATAAAACAGAACAATAATTACACTGCATGGATCTAGTGTCTGCACTATATATATTTTTTTGTTTGTAAAGGATGAGTGTATGAATATGAATACCTGTCTTCATTCGTCGGTAGTTTATGAATCTTACAGCCTAGAAAAATAAGCTCTTACATAGCCTAGTAGTCACCGCTCTGCTTGCTGCAGAACCTTTTTTTTTTTGCAGGTCAAGCAGTCAAGGCTGGGAATGAGGGAAGTCAGTGATAATGCTAGTGGTAGTTTCCTGTTATCGGTTACTGATAAGAGGAAGCAAGATTTTTTTTCACTCACTGTAGGGCCTCCTGGTCTGAGGCATTTTAATCTCGGACTACAAAATTGCAATATTGTTACAGTACATACAGCCATTCTGCCTGTCTTTCAGAGAAAACAGATCTCTACTCCTTAGATTTGTCTTGTAAACTGTGATTTATCAGTATATTGACAGTGCCCCTGCCCCCTGCAGCACAGCTTCCAGAGGTCACCATCAACAAGGAGACATGTGCACCAGAGGTGAATCCAGAAAAGAGATGCGGGCTGCATATTCACAAACATCCTGTTGGTGCCTCTTTTTGCGTCTTCGATGAGTAAGTTTGTCGAACCAGAATATAAACTGTGTTCATTAGTGCAATCTTTTGTAACCCTGGCTTGCTCTCTGTGCAGCTCCATTCTGATCGTAGATCCCACAGCTGAGGAGGAGAGTCTGTCGACCGCACAGCTCACGGTGGTGACAGATGAGGAAGGTCGACTCTGCTCTCTACACAAACCAGGTCAGAAACAGCCTGTACTAATTCTCTTTTCCATTTTTTAGTGATATTTTGCCAACTTCTTAGTGATTACACAAAGGAAAACTCATTACAAAGTCCTCACTGTCAAAAATATAGGGCTGGAGAAGATTATTGTTTTGTTGTTTGAGAATACAGAGGTCACTTTTCAGTTTTATAGGAAGTAAAGTAGTAAAGTAGATAGTAATAGTTTAGTAAAGTAACTGACTTAGGGCGAAGGCAGGGGACACCCTGGACAGGTCACCAGTCTATCACAGGGCTACACAGACAGACAGACAAACAAGCACACTCACATTTACACCTACAGACAATTTAGAGTTACCAGTTAACCTCAACATGTTTGTGGGAGGAAGCCTGAGAACCCAGAGAGAACCCACACTACACAGGGAGAACATGCAAACTCCATGCAGAAAGATCCCAGGTGTCCTCACCGGGCATGAACCGGCGATCTTCTTGCTGCGAGGCAATGCTAGCCACCGCGCCACCCTGAAGCCCTTTCCATGAGCTAGCTTTGTCAAAACCACTAAAAGAAAGAGGACTAAATCCCAAATATAACTGTGAAACTGACAGCGTATGAATGGCGTTCTTGCAGCATTAGGAGCCTTAAAACAAATCTTATAAATTGTGTAAAACATTGCTTCATACAATCTCTCTCTGTGGCTCAGGTGGGACGTCACTGTCGGGAGAGAAACTGCAGGAGTGCATCAGCAGAGCAACAGCACGACAGAGAGAGATCCAGAAACTCATTGACAAAGTTATACATAGTGTGAAGACGGCACAATAAAGAGACTCAGACGATACCTTTTTATCTAAAAGCTGTATTTTCCACTGTCAATATATATTCTTTTTTTTTAATAACAATAAAACTGCTGACAAAGACTGCTTAAAAAAATTATTTCTCAGTGTCCGGAAATGTCTCACACACACACTCAATGTCTCGTAAGAATACGCTCATGGCTCCTGAACTAATTAAAAGGAAATGCCATTTCAAAATGTGCTGTACAAAAGCAGATACACCGTCTTGCATGTTGATCTTGAGTCCTCGTTTTGAGCCCTGTGCCGGGACTGCCAACAGAAGAAAGACTTCCAACAGACTGAGAGGTAGAGAGCTGCCCCCAGGCACTACTCCAAGATCAGATTTGCATTTTCACATGTAATGGTTATATGGAGGATTTGGTGTCAATAAGCTCAGCTGGGATCCGTGCTTAAAGGGCAGTTTGTACCGGGGACAACCAAGCAGAGGCAGGAGGATCGGGCAGCCTTGTGTGGAATCCTCTGAGAATGTGCATTCATGATCCTCTCAGTCCACAGGAGCCTCCATAGAGAAAAGTCTTCCTGAAGGGGCAATGTGTTTACTGTGGAAGCCCGCTACCTACGAGAACCATCTTCTTCTGTTTCATCTCAAAAAAATATCAGTAAGGTTCTTTAAGTTTAGGGCTCCCTGTTCTAAAAACCCCATCCTCTATGGTGGACACAGTTTTGGTTCTCCAAAACCTCTGACAACCATTACATACAAATTTGTCAGCTAGAAAAAGACAAACGGAAAGGACAAAAAAAGTCTTTTTTTTTTTTTTTCTTGTCTGCAGTCTCCACAGTGAGGCAGACAAAGAGCACAGTATGGATCATTCACGTCCTTGTGTAGTTGGGGAGGGGAGGGGAGGGGGGGGAGTTTTAGTGTGATTTTAGTCTGTCATGACTTCGGGAGGGGCTGTGGCGTGCTCCTCTTCCTCTTACTTCTTGGTTGGCTGGCGGTATGTTGCCGTGGTGCTCCCCCCTGAGGAGCTGCTGCTCCCATAGCCATTTGCTGCTGCTGCATTTGGTGCTGCAAGAATTGCAACTGTTCGATGCACAGGGAAAGATAGACAAAAAAATAAATAAATCAGAGGACATTTCAGTACGTTATTTCAAGCTACATAATGCAGCAAAAAGATTGTCATTTAATCTAAGGTAGATGTAAGCATCTCCAGCACGGTTTAGTGGCACTGGTCGTAAGCGGATTCCCTCACTCAAACTGAAACTACACGATCGCTCGAGAAAGCTTTGTGCCAGAGTACGCCTATCAGTGGCATGGGTTAGTTAAGCTGAACTAAAGCCTGGCACATACAACATACAGGAGGAGTGTGCGGAGAAACACAGAAGAGTGGTTAATGGGTTGCAGAGGAGACGGAGGAGGAAGGAAGAGACAACAGATTCGGGGCGGGTCGGGGTGTGTTGGGGAGTGAGGCAGGATACAGTCAAGCAGCACCAGTGGCGTCTGGAGACACAAATTACTGGCTCTGATCCTGGCGAAAAACAAACATGCAGCTTGGCAACCGTGCTTTCTGCTTACAGTAAGTCAGCAACCTCAACAGGGCAAAAAAAAAAAAAAAATCGTTATTTTCTCGACTTGGACTCATGCTTACAGTGTAACAGCCTGTCATCTCTGTCATAATGCAGTCAGCAACCTTCCAAACACCTATGTACCCAGTAACAATATTTCCGATCCTGACGTTGAGTGCCGTCTAAGAACATGCCTCCCAGTTTGACACGTTGTTAGTTGCTGCCATTGGAAGTGCCACAAGCTCTGCTGTGTGGGTTGCTTTGACCACCGAGGTTTTCTTTTGTCAAACAACATAATAACCAAACATACAACACAAGATGGAATGAATGGTGTGGATCTACAAACAAAAAAAGGTGGTGAAGAAGGATTTTGATGAAAATCAGACCTGAGGTGATTCAGTTTCAACTGTAACTATTCACTGGAAATAATAATAAAAAAAAAAAGCGTAAACAATATATTTTAAATTACTGTTTAAGATATATAAATATATAGCAAAAGCTGTACTATGTTAAATGTGTTCACGTTTTCAAAGCCCTCAAAATTTTGCATTTTGGAGCCACAAAATGTTTTAATGCTGTGACAGGAAGTCCACAATCACTTGCTTTAAATCCATTAAATTTTATGCAGGTCTGCTGAAAATAATAAAGAATATTTAAGAAATTCTTGTTTGTGTCAGACTTACAAACAAACAAAGTTAATTTACTTAGTTCTCTGACAGTTTATAGTGTAGCACAACATACACCTGCCCGCTACATAAAGGCATGGAGAGTTGGCTGATGAATCTAGTCTCAGTGTTTAGCTCCTACAAAGATTATATATGTGTATATGAATGTTAATGTTGCTGTATTACTTGGATCTGTGGCTGGTGCTGCTGCTGAAGCCTTGGAGAAGGCAGCGGGGGCCCAGACCCGTCCAGCCCACAGCCCAACTGGGACAGCACTAAGGGGGAGGGAGGAGGGAGAGAGGGAGTCCCAGAGGGAAGGATGTGATGGCAAGAGGGAGAGAAGCAGAAGGAGGAATGTAGTAAAGTATGAAGAGAGAAAATGCACATACAGGCAAACGGGGAACATCGACGAGGATGAGAGGGGGAGGATG